TTGCCAAAAAAACCTACTTGCCGAAAATCATTTATCTATACTTCGAGCCATAACGATTGAGGTGGTCAGTCTACTGATCATCTCTGCTTCAAATTTTGGGAGACACCAATACATGATTAAAATATCATTGGGTCATGTTTGGGGCACTCTGATAATTTCGTGACATCACAAAGGACAAGGTTGTTGTGTGAATGATCTAGCTAATAAGAGTAGTCCGACGATATATAGTATTTCTCGATCAACCATCGACAATTAATCTCCTTGATCCGGGGTTCTTAACTTGCATAACAATATGGAATGGCTTAGCTTCATTACACCATATCAAGGTTCTCATGCCAACTTCAAATTCCACCACAATTGATTAATTATTGCGGTAGGCGATTTTTGAAAGTATCGCTCGTACTTTTGAATTTTGGATTAGTGAATGTTTTAGAAGTTTATATATCTTTTGTCTTTGAATTTGTTGGAAATTCTCTAAATTAATTTATTTATGTTATCTACATTTTGTAAGCATTTTTTATTTCGACCAAAGAGTGGAAAATGAAAAAGGAGAGGAGGGGACAAGAATCCTACCCGACCTTTAAGATGGGTAACTCAAGAGATGCCTCAAACGTGACCGCACCAAAGTCCACATGGGCCTCCTTGTGTTTTGGCGAGGCATGTTTATTTTCATTGGTGCTCGTGTAGCTCATCTCTCTCTTTTCTTTTCCCATTTTATTTCATTGCGCTGAGATTGACTACCATTGGTGGTCATTTGCCTTATATGTGACTGGTTAATCGTGTTGGGAAGGCTTGGTTAAGGATCTATCCATCTAATCTCAACTTAACTCATCTATTGACCAGGTGCATTAGCGATTAGACATCATCATGTCAATACCGTGTGAAATTTTTTTAATAACGTAACGGTAGCATTTTGACCTAATAAATAATGGCAATGACCGGAGGATCAATACATGTCATGCATCCAAAAAGTTAGAGAGTTTAGTTACACAAAAGAACTGGATAAATCAATTCCACGGTTTTTCTTGTATTTTGGTACTTTTTCTTAAAACCCTGTTAGGACATCGTTTTCCTAGTTTACATTATTTACATTTATCTCTCTCTTTTATATATCCCTTGTTGCTTCGGATCAATAAAAACATGGAAAGCATTTGATGCTATTTCCATCAAAGATAATACAAACTACTTTTTTCCCCTTTTTTTTTTTTCCTTTTTTTCAGGTAGAAGTGATAAGATATGTGATTTTTAGTTTTTATGAGAGCTTATGTTAATCCACCAACAAAATATCTTCTTCCTTAAATGGATGTGACCGTTGTGCTCTAACAATATTTAAGAATTTTTCCAATATTGTCAATAATCCAATAATACCTTTTTTGGGCCTTTAGGATGAGATCAAGAAGGACCAAATTAGGGAAAATCGCACCAAATATAAATTCATTCCAGGGCTAGCAATGCGTAAGCCAAATCCGGCAAGAAAAATATGTCATTTGATTCCATACCAAAAATATCAAGAGAATGACACTAGAAGTGCCGAAAGTTATGTATGACTCTCACTTTAGAACCAAAAGTTTCCACCAGATCACTTAAGTGTAAAATCGGAGAAAAAACAATCACTTAAGTGCAACCAGTGAGATATTCCAGCCAAATTGATAACGGAGATTTTTTTAATTACAAACAAAATATGACATGGCATATTTTTTAAAAACCAAGTCCATTTAGAGTACAAAAACAACATTGGATTTCCTGCCTACGTGGCTTGTTCAAAAGGAATGAAGTCACATAGCCTCTAACCAAAACAACGTCCCACAAAACCGATCAAAATTGAGGCTTCAAGTTCTTGTTACTGCACGACACTACAAACTCCTCCTTGCTTGCTCGCCCTTGCTTGCCAGCACAGTCACTCACTCAGGTTTGTCATCTTTTCTCCCTTGCTAAATTGGTTGGAAAAATTAGGGCTCCAAGGGAGGGAAAAAGGGTTCTTGGTAACGTCGTGGGGACAACGGTAGTAGAGATTGCAAGATTGAGCTAGTAATTTTGGGGGCAAACCAAAATAGGAAGTGAATTTGGGTTCAATGGCTGGTTAGATTTGAAATTTGGTTGGGGGGGGGGGGGGGGGGGGGTTCTATTTCAATTTGGGGATTTAAGGTTCTTATTTGAAGGAAAGGTACTAGACAACGTCATTTTAGGGTTTAGATGCTAACTGGATTCACCAGCGAGCCACGTCAGCTTAAGACACTAATAAATCAAGGCTACATCGGATTTCCGGCCAAACAGATCGGAGTCGGAGTTGGCACTGAAATGAGCGTTTTTGAAAAATTTTGGCACTTATGTGATCTTGAGGAAACTTTTGGCACTAAAATGAGCTTCGTATACAACTTTTGGCACTTTTAGTGTCCTCCCTTTACAAAATTATATATTTTGATCCTATAAGAGCTCAAATGTGAACCTAAATTGGAATTAAGGCTAAAGTAAATAAGCATATGCTTTTGTAATTGGAATTTGGATGCTACCCTTTTTAACTTGCATCCTTTTGGAAGCCTAGTTGTTTGGAGTACATCAGGTTTGGAATAGGGAAAAAAAAGAAAATACTTTGTTAGCTAAATATTTGAAACTTTAAAATTTAAACAAACTTTTCAGGTAATTTACTGTTATTCAATATTTATGTATGAAAATGGGAGAATTTTGAGTCTCGATTCAAGTGGTAACATTGTTCAATTCCGTGAATCGGGATCCTAATACGTATAGATACGGATGGTGCGATGGAAGCAAGAATTAAGAAGAGCAAAGTTTGGCAAAAGTTCTTATTATATTTTATGGTGAAGCATATTCACAATCGACTCCCGTAGGATTCACACCCAATGTCTACAACGGCGATCGAGAATCGGCATAAAATTATGAGAGAAGAAACATTTGACAATTACTAATCGAGCGAAGATCACAAGGCAGATTATATCTCTAAAGTTGACTCAAAGACCCTGCAAAATTTTAAATTTCAAGAGGTTCAACCCACTAGCAGTAACCGTGCAAGTACCTTGGACAGGTACTGATTGCCTATATGGATAACTTTGCGGACCTGCATTCACGGTCCATAGCTACTTATGGTTTGGCACATACAAGCAATTTAAAAAAACGGTATCACGACCATAATCCTATAATTTCTAGATAACTGGAAACTCCAGTGAGAGATTTATATCTATATCTAATAATAATACCAAGTGAAAACATGCAATGCTGGCACTTGGCTTCTAGTTCATCGAAATTTTAATCGCTTGACAAAATACTCGAGACAATTAGTTGATTTGCAATTCAATTCGTGGTACGTTTTGGAGAAATTGTTGGGGAAAATTAACGGTCCGTGGATACTGGCGCAGGTGCTCACGGTTATTCACCCAAGCAATAAGAACTCCCCAAGGTAAACAAATATCTGAACCAAGAGCGTCAGAGAGTTTTGGCGATCGTACACCATTTGCAAATAACTATATCACGGCCATAATCCCACGATCTCTAAAATAGTGATAACTCCAATGAGAGATCTACATCTATATATAATAGCAAAGGAAAGAATGTAAAACAGGCACTTGGCTTCTGCTTCGTGGACATTTTACTTCACAAATTCTACGGCCGCACGGAAATCTCTCTAGACAATTTTGAAGAAAATCTCCTGATTTTGTAATGAATATGGTGATTTGGTATTCAACATGGTGATTTCGTCGGTTTATGAAATAAAGATTTACATGGAAAGGAACCTACAACGACGAATCCAATTACTAAAATTAAATACATAGATTTGCCAAATCACCTCTTTCATCTTGGCCTTATGTCCTCTCAACTACCTTCAGTAATAGAACAGCCTGCTTGTAAGTATATATTAGATCATAGACAGATGCCTAAATCAAACAAATCCACCAAAAGATGGAGCTCAATTTAAAAGCAAAATCACTATTTCATTGAGGGCTCCTTTCTTTTCTTAGTATCAGGATTCCCAGTTAATCTTAATCATAGTAAGAGTGTTTCCATATGCATCCTGGTAAGCAAAGGCAGATAAAAAAAAAGTATATCATGGATTGTGCTACTCATGGGTATATACATGCACAATTTTGGTTCTCCAACTCCATGATACATGTGAAGACAGATGAAGCCATACAACAGCGACAACATATTAAGCAATTGAAACAGACTGCGACTGTCTATCTGGATGACAACGAGGTAATTTGTAGATCAGTTCTCAAAGTTTTCAAAAATTTCAAAGATTAGCCGAAAAAACGAGGAACTTCTCATCTCATGATCATGGAAAATGGAAAAGTTAATTTAACAATCGAGGCATGGTTAAGAATGAATACACGTGTGTCAAAATGATAACACATAAGTGATGGACCCAGTGCAATATATATATACACACACATATGCATATATGTATATATTCTATGCAATGTCACAACCATCGTTTAATAATTATGAATCCAGAAATGCAAGGGATTTTTATGAATAAAATATCTATGACCTGCGAGTCACTTATTGAAAAAAAAAAAACTATTATTTCACAAGCATAGGTTTACAATGAGAACATGCTCTGAAGAGCTCTAGAAACTTGAAGCTGGATAAGAGCAACATATCATAATCAGCAACACATATGATTATTTTGTGAGATCGCATCTGTCCTTGGTTGATGGAGATACTCTTTTTATCATGACTCCAATCATGTCTACCTCAGCGTAGCCTTCATTACATGGTGACGACGATCTAAACCAATTCCACATCTGAAATTTTGCTTTATATTGAACTTGGAGTACTCTTTTCCATTTTTTTTTCCTAAGTGATAAGAGAATTATTAGAAGGTAACTGCTCGAGTACATCAGGAATGCAAAAGAACGGATCAAAACTGAAAAAAGGAACAACAAGAACTCCTCAAATTAGAGCAATCGTTGCATAAACGTTTAAAAGGTCCTAAAACAACTAAGTAAGAAGACTCAGATTTCAGACCAAAAAAAAGAAGACTTAGATTCTTCAAAAATTCTTTTTGCAGCATTTCCAGCCTCTCAAAAACTAGATTTGTGATAAAAGTTCGAGAGAGCGTTGGAACTGCAATGTTTTAATACATCCGAAACAGGAACCAGACCAGCAGGTTCTGCATGGGGCTCCTGGGAAAAGGCTTCTTCTCCATGCATAGCATCAGCAACTGAGTCCGGCTGGATACTTCCCCATTTGCGAATTTCCATACTCGCAGTTCTAATCCCCATTTGGCGTACCAGTACTTGAATCTCCATATGTTATTTTCCTGCTACAAGAATATAGAATCAGAACTAAACCAACATTTGTTAAGTAATATCCATCAGCTAAATGGGAAAAACAGAAGGCTCACCTGCTGGAGCTTGAAAAAGGTATAGGAAGAGTACTAGGCTTACTGGAAAATAAAATTCCACGGAGAGGTTTTCCATCTATGACGGTTTCAATGGTGTATCGATCACCAAAATTCTCCATCAGTCTCGCTTCAAATATTTCTTTACCTTGGACAGGTACCAATTGCTCATATGGATTACTTTGAGCACCTGCATTAAAGGTCCATAGCTACTTATAGTTTGGCACATACAGGGAATTCAGAAAAACAGTACTCACGACCATAATCCTATAATTTCTAGATAACTAAATAATCCAGTGAGAGATCTACATCTAAATTTAAAAATAATAGCAAGTGAAAACATGTAAAACAGGCACTTGGCTTGTGCTTCATGGACATTTTACTTGACAAAATCCTCGGACAAAGGTCTGTCGATTTGCAATTTAGTTCGTTGTACATTTTGAAGAAGTTGTTGTGGGGAGATTAACGGTCTGTGAACTCTGACACAGGTGCTCTTAGTTATTCACCGAAGCAATAAGAACACTCCAAGGTAAAGAAATATTTGAACCAAGAGTGACACAGAGTTTTGGCGATCGTACACCATTTGCAAATAACTATATCACGGCCATAATCCACGATCTCTAGATAAGTGAAAACTCAAGTGAGAGATCAACATCTATATATAATAGCAAGGGAAAACATGTAAAACAGGCACTTGGCTTCTGCTTCATAGAATTTTAATTACTTGACTAATTCTACGGCCGCACGGAGATCTCTCTAGACAATTGTGAATAAAATTTCCTGATTTTATACTGAATATGGTGATTTGGTATTGAATATGGTGATTTTGTCAGTTTATGAAATAAAGATTTACATGGAAAGAAACCTACAATGAGATCGAATCCATTCACTTAGAATACATAGATTTGACCAAAAAAGTAAACATGTTGACGTCACCTAGATCGTGGTAGCCTAAGGGCGAGCCTTAGTGCAGCATAAAAGCTTACTCCATTGTGACCTATGGTCCCGGCTTCAAGTCACGAAAATAGCCTCTCTAGAAACTAGGGGTATGGCAGCATACATGAATGGCGATATTGCTATGATCTTTCTAATTTAAGTACTCTTACTATCCAAGTCGCCAGAGTTGATAATTCAATCAACCCCACCTCATAATCATTCGATTACGAGATATTACATGAACATGGTATAAAGCATATGTAACTACAGAAGACTCGTACCTTCCCTCAACTACTTCTTTTATGTACTACTACCCAAATCGCAGATCAACTAACCCTAATCCTTCAATACAGTTCTCTCGACAAGCGACATACCTCATTTTCTTTACCATACCATGACTCGTAGCGAACCAAGATCTAGATAAAATCTTCATATCTAAAGAAACCTAACATATTAGTAAAATCCTAACATACAGTAGAATTATCTGTGCAAGCTAGTAACTATGCTTTCAAAAATCCTAACACTATTTCCCTATTCAAAATTTCAGATTTACAACCTCAAGTTTTGCCCACACATTAGCACATATGTTACGTTCGCTTATAACTAGGATGGGAAACAAGTTTGAGAACTCAATCGCGCGATACTTTGTTTCAAAAAAATGACCGAATATTGAGGTTCCTACAATACGAGTTCTTAGTACATTACCTCAATGACAAATAGCACGTTTAAATACTTTAAAAAGGTTAAAAAAACTAAAAATTGACAAATTTTCCTCTAATGTTTCTTCCAGACAAGTAACGCCTGCAAACTTCTCGAAATTTTTTCAAGAAAAAGTGCTTAGTGCTCACAAGAAGGCCATTCTGTCCATCCCTTAACTCTCTCTCTCTCTCTCTCTCATATATTTTAAATTTGATGTTACCAGTTAGATCCTTAGCAAGCGGAGCATAGTTGCAAAAGGGCATGCTGTAAAAGCATTTGTTTCTATTACAGAGCAATGACCTATTTTTAGTTTTAGATATTATTTTGGTCAAACAATCTTTTCAGTAGTCTACAAACCGATTCAACAAATGAATTTATATCAACATGCCCATGGTCCGGAAATTTTGGAGCTAGATAGCTGAATTCGTGGACGGTGTTTATGGACACAACAATTATCCATGGGGTCTACATATTGTTTAATTGAGTTGAAACAATTAGATTGAAGTAGTGTTGATAAAGCAATGAAATCAGTTATGACTCTCCCTTTCAAAATAGTTTAGGCGAAGTTGTGCCGAATATGTCTGCAGATGGCTTTGGAGACATTTAAATGACAAGAACCACATCTGAAGACAACTTAGGCAAGTCATAACAGCAATAAGCATGAGAAAAGAAAAGCTTTATTAGGTCGGTTGAAGGCATTCAGTGGGTAAGTGCAAAGGCTGTGCAAGAAGAGCTAAAAGCTTGGTTTGGTATACGCAATACCTAAGAGAACAAAAGAATATTCACTTGATCCCTGTGGCTATTTTTTGGCTGATCTGGAGGGGAAAAAACAGGAGAATCTTCAGTAAAACAGAGCCATTTTGTAAAAATTAGGAAGTTGTGGCTTTTCACTTTCGACCTTTATTATACGCAGAGATTGAATCTTGATGTAAATTGCTATTCCGAAATAAGCATATAGGGGAATAAAAGAATAAGTGGTAATTAGCATAATTAATATGATCTCCATCTCCATATCACCTAATATAACTACAACTTTAAATATCAATCCTTGAATCAACAACTACATATACTATAATAGTACCGTTAGATTATTTCCACTCACTATATAGCAGTCGCAACCAGATCATTTTGTACATAAGAGCAACTAATATCTCAGCATTTAAACCCACTACTAAGAAAAATGTGAATAAAATGAAAGACAGTTTCAAGTCAACATAAACAACTGTAAAATCTAATTATATAGTTCTATCTCCACAGCCATTCTTTCTCCCACCGACAAACCCTCATTCAAGAACATGGCAGTAAACATATATCAGGGCCTGACCTGGCTGACCATAGATCGATAGCGGCTCAGGTTGATCTGTGCTTGTGGATTCACCAACTCGGACCAAAGCTTGATCATGTCCTAGAGTCAAATTTTGTTCATGGCACTTCAGCTTCAGTTTTTTCCTCAATGGTAGCTTCTCTAGTCTTCGCTTGTATTCCCTAGTGAGTCCTAGAAATGATATGAAATTAACTCTCATACACATCTTGGGTTCTGAAACCTGAAAATCAACATAAACTACCAAACAAATGGCCACAAGATATAATTTGAACCTGTGTGCAAGTAATAAATATCGTCAAGAGCCTCAAGACTTGTATTGCAACCACCAACAAAGGCAAGAACCCCACTCTTTACTGGATCCAGACAGACCCCAGCCATGCAAAATCTGGGAGAAGGTCCAGCACCTGCAGCAGTCACCTTGGACCATATCGCAGATTCTGAAAAACAGATAAAGAACAAGAGGTGTTAAGTCGAAGGAACGAAAGCATGCTAATGTTGCTTTTCCTCACTTGTCCAAGGCAACAAAGGAATAGGAAAAAATTAAAAGAAGCAATAGCTGATCAGCTCAAACTTTACTTTCCAAATACATGAATGATTAAGCGAAGTTAACTAATCATTGGATATGAAATTGACCAGACAAGGAAAAAGGCCCTATTCTTGAAACAGAAGTTCATCTAGCACTCCAATGTACCGCTAGCATCTCAAAAGAATAGGAAATATACTTGAGTTTTAAAACTGCAACCAACAAATCATTGCCTAGAAATATATTAACTGACACAGGTTTCATATAAAACAGGGCAGTATGAATGTGAGAACTAGTGATTTGAGACTGACATTATTACATTTCTGCAAATGCATGTATATCTGCATGATCTCTGTGGCAGACATTCAGAAAGCATATACAGAGCAAAAAGTACTTACCAATATCAAGCATACACAGGTCATCATATAGCTTTTGGTTATCTGTGTATCCCCCATAAACTAACAGAATCTTCCCAAAAGTAACAGTCAAATGTCCAGCACGGGGGGGTAGCATGTCGCCGGCGGTGTTCAGTTCCTTCCATATCAGGGTATCTAACAAAATACAGTAAGGCCAAAAGAGTAGTAAAAAGAGGATAATAGTGGAGAGAAAAAAAGCACGAAACCCCTATTCAGTTAATCTAATAAAGGCTACAGTAGACAGTAAACCTGCATCAAGAATATGGACATCGGACAAATAGTAATCACGTCCATCTTGACCCCCAATCACAATCAATTTGTTCGTCCATGTTGAGCAGCTATGGGTAAGACGTGGTGAAGGTGGGATACCAGTTGTCGTAGCCTTTTCCCATAAAAATGTCTCTGTAGATTATGAGAAGGAAATGCATGAACTAGCATGTTTGTCTACCCAAGGAAGATAGAATACCGAACTCTGCAATCTAAATCAATAAACATTTGACCAGCAGTAGTAACTGATCATGCATACTACAAGTATAGTACTTTGATAAGTTTGGAGGATACAACATGCATGGAATAAAGACTCTAACCAACCTCTCATATGCACAGACAGGGAGACTTCATAAATAGATGTCAATGGGACTAGAGGTAAAGAAGAAATGTCGACTTTTAAAAAGAATGTACCTGTGTTTAATATGAAGAGATCATTATAATATACTTCGTCCTCATCATCAGGAGATTTTCCATACCCACCAAATATGATCAGCCTTTTACCCACAAGTGCTGCACTATGACCCTGCCTTGCCTCCGGTCCCTCTCCCCTTGTAATTGGCGATATCCATGTATGAGAAGCTACAGAACATATTCGTGAACTACATTAAAAAGAGCCCAACTTCTGCTATTGCAAGTATAAAGAAAAGATGCACAGATTATTAGTCGACAAGACTGTAATGGCTGCGCCAGGGGCGAAAGGAGATGGTAAATGTAACTTACAAGTGTCTAGTATATGCAAATCCCCGAGAGGGTTCATCCCATCTGTCCCACCAAACACATACAAATTGTCACCAACATTAGTACAGCTATGGCCGTCCCTTGGAGCAGGTGGCGTGCCTTTTATGGTGGGTTGGCTCCATGTTTGCTCCACTGCGAGTCAGAAAAAAATTAATATCAATTGAAAAAAAAGGAAAGTCTCTCCACTAGCTAAGCTCCGATGGAGCACGAGATCATGACAGAAAAACTAGAAGGCAAAAGAAGTTGGAAGTACACCAAAAGCCATCTCTCGCGATATTCCAGCAGTAAATGTAAACACCAGCAAAATGGAAATGGGGAGAAAGACCAAAAAAGCTTCAGTAATTTTCAAGATGAATAAGTACAGGAAAATATTGGTCATAGCAGTGCCATGTATAACAATCATTGGACATAGAACATAATGAAAAATTCTCTTCCATCCCACACATTCAATGCAAAAAACTGACCACAAATCACAGATTCAAGAGCCAAGCCATTGATTAATATAAAAACCAACAACAAACAAAAGGCATCAGCGAGTTATAACACAACCAAAAAAAAAAAAAAGACAGCCCAACAAGCAGAGCTGCACCAAAAAACACCAGGGGCTCCAAATCAGACAGAAAAAGAAAAAAGAGAAGAAAAGAACCAATCTTTCTCTCAGCACCAAGCAGAGCATACCAATCCAAATCGAAGACATTTTCTGAAAAAATTTAACTTTGAAGGAAAACCAGAATCTCCGTACGATAAACTCGAAGACCCACCAGTGTCAAAGACGTCAACTTGGTTGGTCTGGCACATGCCTTTCCCAAAGCCGCCGAACACGTAGAGAAACACCCCTCCTTTGATGGCGTTGCAAGTGTGGCCCCACCTCTTTCTGGAGCCACCCGCCTCTTCTATGCCCTGCTCTGTTTCCTGGGCTTGCGGCAACAGGACTCTCTCCCACCTCATTTTTCTTTCCAAGGAATGTCAACCCACAACACAAGGGGCCAAGAAAGCGCGAGAAAGTGAAAGCCTTTTAAGAAAAGAGTAGTAGGATTTCAAAGTTTGAGAAGAAGACGGTCTCTCTTTGGTGTCATGCAGAGGGCAAGAGCAAAAGACCAGAACAAATGTGGACGATGCTGCAAAAACTGTCTTTTGTGGAAAGACGTTTTGAAGGATGGATTGTTGCGAGGGAGCGCAAGAGCTTTTCTTTTTCTTTTTTCCTCCGTTTTTTCCTTGCCAAAAAGTTTTAAAGTACAAAGAATTTTCATAATGCCTTTTTTGGCCCTTTAGAATAAGATCAAGAAGGATCATATTTGGAAAAATTGCCGAATATATAAAGTCGTTCCAGGGCTAGCATTGTTAAAGCCAAATCCGGCAAGAAAAATATGCCATTTAATTCTATACCAAAAATATCATTTGACGGAATTATCTGTGGTAAAAGCACAAATATGGACATAAATTGAATTGAGGATAAAGTAACAAAGAATGTGTATTTTGTCATTTGAATTTAGATGTTGCCCTTTTAACTTGCATGCTTTGGTAAGCCTAAATGTTTGAAGTATATTATTAGATTTAGAATAGAGAAAAAAGAATATAATCTGGTAACTAAATATTTGAAGCTTTAGGCTCCGTTCGTTTGGCAGAAAATATTCTCCTTTCGGAAAATATTTTTCCGGAAGTCATTTTCCTGGAAAATGTTTTCCCGGAACATAATTTTCCGGTGTTCGGCGACCAATATGAAAAAGTTTCGGAAAATATTTTTCGCCGGCGATCGGCTGGCGGCCGGCGATCGGCGATCGGCGGCGGCCGGCGATCCGGCGGCGGCAGCGGCGGCGGCGGCGACACGACCGGGCGGCGGCGACCGGCGGGTGGCGGGCGGACGGCGGGCGGCGGCCGGCGGGCGATCAAGGGCGGGCGGTGGGCGGCCGGCAGCCGGTGGCGGCGGGCGGCGGCCGGCGACCGACGGCGGGCGGCGGCCGGCCGGCGACCGACGGCGCGGGCGGCCGGCGGCCGGCGACCGACGGCGGGAGGCCGGCGACCGGTGGCGGGCGGCCGGCGACCGGCGGCGGGTGGCGGGCGGCCAACGGCGGTGACCGGCAATCAACTTCCTCTCTCGCGGAAAACATTTTCCCTCCCATGGGCAATTTTGCCTTCAATTTGGGGGAAAATGATTTCCTCTTTGTGAAAAGAGGAAATCATTTTCCTCAAAACAATGAAGGATTTGGGGGTGGGGAAGAAAAATGTTTTCCCACGGAAAATATTTTCCGCCCCCGAACACCGGAAAACGCGGAAAATGTTTTCCGGAAAAATATTTTTCCGCAAACGAACACAGCCTAAATTGTAGATAGACTTTTCAAGTAATTAATTGTTAGTAAAATTTAGAAGATGGAAACGGGGGAATTACCGAGTCTCAATTCATGCGATAACATCGCTCGATTCCATGAATTGAGATCCAAATATATATTGAAACAAATATATGATGGGAGCAAGAATTAAGAAGAGTAAAGTTTGGCCAAAGTTTTTTATTTATTTATCTTCGTACCAAAGCATATTCACAATCAATAACCCCAGAATTCACAACACTATTGATGAGATTTCATAATAATACTATTGTTTCGCCGTAAATGCTCCCGCGACGAAATATAATTCACCGAACATCGTTCTTCGACTTTTTTGTGAGAGAGGACCGCGTTCAGTGGCAACTCCGGACAAGAAATATCCAAGAAGACAAGAAATCAAGAGCTTTACTTCGAACTTCTAATCGGGTTGTACGTACAAACTGTGCCGGCGACTACAAAGCTTGAAAATACAGCCACACACGTACACAAAGATGTAACGCCAGAATTTAATCGACGACGCAACACTCGAAATAGAAATACATGCCAAATTCCAATCGACGATGCGAATCAAAAAGCTACAGCTAAGGAAAGATAGGGTGCGGTATAGGAAAGTAAAGATAATTGAAAGATAACATATTGTTTAATTTGTCGGGGGGGGGGGGGGCTCTCTAGTAGATGGCCGGTGATATTTATAATGGTCGTGTGGTAACTGCTCCTTAACGGTTTCCAACAATTGTGCCCATGTTGTTCCATTTCGAAAATCTTGTCTTCATATCCAAGTAATGCTTCCTGCTTTCAAGATAATTGTCTCACGATTTTGTTTACGATCTTCTTTACAAGTGATAACTGCCTCATGATCATGCTTCCAAATAACCTATTCCCCAAAAATATACATGCGTGTTCCTTAGCGGTTTTCCAATTATTGCGTTGAGTCCACTACCTCGATGGTTTATGTGACTCTACTATGTTGGCGGATGCTTCAACTTCACTACATTGATGGTTACTTCTTCGACAGTTGTATCCGAGATTGTCGACTCCACTTTTAGTTGATAGCATTTTTTTTCCTTCACTCATGCGAGCTTCTCCTTTAAACATCTATGCTTCGCCCTTTGCGTCTTGATTTCAGCTACCAATGAGCCCGCATTGACATCATTGCACCTTGATTGGCTTGATCGTCACAATGCTTGATTTCTCTCACATCACATGAAACCAACACGATAATACAACACATGCCCAAAACAAATGCAAATTGATATCGCAGCTTTTCTTTCTTCACTCATGTGAGCTCCTCTAAACATTTTTTTTCTCGCCCTTTGAGTCTTGATTTCAGCCACCGATGACCTCACATCAACCTCGTTGCACCTTGATTGGGATTGGCTTGATTTGCACAATGCTTGATTTCTTTCAAGGAGGTCGACCATCATGTTCCTTGCTCGATCTGATATCTTCAAATCGACTCACATGAAGATATCACACAGTGCAAAAATTGAGAAGAAGGACTACATTGCAAATTGTTAAAAGGTTTAAGATTAATTTGGCCAAATTGAGAAGTTTGGAATTGAATTGTCATCCGTACAATAGATTTGATCCAATCGGCGTTGTTTTGGACATGTGGAGTTTTTCACTCAAATTATTTGCCACATAGGAGAGAGAAATGATTAAAATAAGTCACTTCAGCATTTTCTGTCACCCAAATTAGACGAAGCTAATGGAAGGATTTGATCGTACCAACTTGACAAGTTTTGAGGCTTGATTACACTTTTTGCAAGTTTTAGAACTCAATTGCACTTTCGTGATAAGATTTAGGACTCTTAATGCACCTATCCAAGAAGTTAAGAAAAATTGGCAGTTGAAGTTAGGCCTATGAAACGGGTGGGACAGGTTGAGTCGAAAATGCTCTGAACCAAATTGACCTATCTAACTCATATTGACCCATTTTTATGCAATACAACTTTAGTGCCCCATAATCGACCCAACCTAGTCCTAACACATGCATAGGCTCCGCCGCTCCAATTGTTAGCAAATCTTGTCCATAAATTATTGCCTTTGATGAACGGGCAACTCCATGAACCAGCTTGCCTAGTCAGTGAGTGAGCTCGGGTGCTTAGCTCAAGTCGTGGGCGGGAATTTCTTCGCGCACTCATACAACCCTTTTGCTAGTGAGCTTACGCTTCATACCGGCTTTTTTAAGCCATATTGATTGCAACTTTTCTCATTTATTACTCATTGAATTTTTAAACTAGAGTCGCCACTAAACTATTTTAGGCTAGTAATGAGCTGAGTAAATCTGTGAGCTATGCATAAAAATAAATGTGTACTGGTCTAATGTATATAAAATTTTACGATCTATTTGATAGTTAGTATATTCAAAATGCAACTAAAAAAGTTAATCTAGTCGTATTATGTAATGTAGGAAAATCCTAAATGCATTATAAAAATCTAATTAAGTACGTTACTCGGTAAACCAAAATAAAGTATCTTTTTTTGTCCAAAAGTATCTAAGAGATTTAATAAATCCAAAATATGAAATAAACGGAATACCGAAATATTGTTTAGGATCTAAAAAATTTAAAAAAGAACATTTAAAAAAACAAACGAATGTGTCATTGCAGACTGAAATATTGTTATCTTGAAGTGCATGTTTCTAAATCCACAACATGCACTTCAAGTCTGCAACGATCAAGATCAATGTGTGTGTTCGTGCGTGCCTGCTCCCTCTCCTGAGCGCGTACTTGACAATGGCGACTCGCCTATTGCCATCTCCGACGTCGATGGGATAATCCTCCTCAAGCGATATGAAGCGGCGGTTGAAGCGAATTATACTCTCTCTCTCTCTCTCTACTAATTTTTGTTAGATTTGTTTTCTTAGGGAAAATTACCAAAAAAGTCATCAACATTTTGCAATTGTGCCAATTCAGTCCTAAATCTTTTTTTTTTTGCCATTTCAGTCCTAAACCTTTTACAATTGTGCCAATTCAATCCATCCGGCTACTTTTGGCCGGCCGGCGCTGACATTGACGCTAGTCGGCGCCGGCTAGCCGACGTGGCATTATTTTAATTTTTTTTTCCTTTCTCTTTTTTTTTCTTTTTCTTTTTTTTTCTTTCCTTCTTCCCCCCTGGCCGGACCGGCCAAGGGGAGGCTCGCCGGCGAGGTCAACCTCGCCGGCCATGGCCGAGGTCAAGCTCGCCCGACAACGGCGAGGCCTCGCCCAGATCTGGCGAGGTCTCGCCAAATCTGGGCGATGTCACGCCCCGAACCCCAACGGGCTCGCGACACCCCTACAGCGGTCGTATTGAGCGCAACGTCACAGGAAGCGTCGCCGACCCAAACGAAACACGCAAAGACAAACGCAAGTGGAAGCGGAAATCAACTAACCCAGATAATAAACAATGACAAAAGGGTAGTACTTATACAAATCAATAAACTCATATCATTAGCTTGAGACCATTAGCTTGAGACCATAAAATTCATACATTAGGCTTCTAAGGTTAGCTTCCACCTTCATCATAAAAAAAGAACAGGTGGGAGGGTAGGCTAGCTAGCTGCACAAAAAGGGCTCTACCCAAAAGCTTCTAAGCCAGGCACCCAAACGCTCCTACAGTGCCCAAACGGAATCAGATCCCGTAGACTCCGACTCCGTATCAGCTTCGATCTCGATTGGCTCTTCTTCGGGCTCCAGCTCCATGGGCTCTCCTTCGGGCTCCAGCTCCATGGGCTCTCCTTCGGGCTCGGACTCAGATGGTTCAACTACAAGTTCCGACTCCGGGTCAGACTCTAT